AGCGAGCGAAGACAGTACATGCCTTAGACCGCTCGGCTACCGTGACCGGCATATAGTTTAGTTTAGTTTCCCTTAATTAGCCTAGTTTAGTTTAATTTAATGCAGTCTGGTTTAGTGTGGTCCGGTCTAGCTTACTGATAGTCTGCTATTCATTTCAGAGGCATTTGTTTCCCATTCTCCTATGTGAAAACTGAAGTCCAATGTATACAAAGCGACAATTTTGCTTGTCTCAGACGAGAGCGAGGCCTGTTCTGTCTTTCTGAGGAGGAATGTAGATTGAGAGTTGTACAGGAGCGTCATGTTTTATTGTAACATATTTGTTAGGAGTTCCGTCGACACAGCACATACTCTATATAACAATTAATTATATATTTATTTAGCTACATATTTCGACCCTAAATTTGTTATCTGTTTACTGCTGAATATTTACATAGTGATTCTTGTCAAAACTCCCTTCCGTAGATTAGATATTATTGTCAAAATTGCATTAATTTTAGTTGTAGACTGTGTAAAAACATTGCAATTGCTGAAAAGATGTAAATAAAATTAATATGGAAGTTAAGTACTGAGCATGCAGTGGCAATATGAATTGTAAAATGTAAAAATTACAATGGCTAAAATCGTTAAATGCTGAACGTTGTTTTTGTAAGTTCGTTGTTTAACGACGCTATCGATATCGAAACTACATACGAGTAAAGAGCCGAGCTGTGTCTTGTATCATGATATAAATTCCTAGTATTCGGCTTAAGGCGTGGCCACTGTTTGTTTACCCCATTTTACGTACACACAAAACAGAGAGTGTTCAGATAATTTGTTTTCTTTACTTGAAAGAAAAACTTATCAAGTTTACTACTTCTCAATATAAGCGCCATTTGTAGGTCGCAGAATGTCCAAATTGTTTTTCTATTTCTCATGTGCTCTCCAACCTCTGCGGTATCATAGAAGCAACCATACTGTTGATTTTTGCACGAAGTTCAACCACAGTACCAAATTTTGGACAGCACACTTTACATGACCCGAAAAGAAAAAAATCAGTGTGGGTATATCGGGGGAGTGAAGGGGGCAACGATATGGGGATACACAGACAGACCCAGAGACCCACGCATCCAACAATTCTTCTATTGTTGTCTATATTCCTTGCCTCGCGAACATGTTTACCCAGCCGTTGCCTAGCAATAATAAGAGATACACATACAGACATACAGGCTTATGGCAGGGATATATGAAGTACGCAGTTGAGATGCTCAGGTGCCATGATATGAATACCAAGTTTCATAAAGATTGGTTTAGGAGTTCAAAAGTTAATATGGAGGATACACAGACGCACAGACAGCATGGAGATATCATAAGCCTACTTTCATTTTTTTTTTCAAAATAAATAAGTTAGATTTACAAGAATTATGAAATAATAATTATACTGTAAACCCAAATGAAGTTGACCCATATGGACAAAACTTCCGTTTTCTTTAACATGTCTGTTTAGTTACTCATTAATTCATTCATTTACTCGTTTCTTCGTTTGTTTCCTGCGATTACAATACTTGGTTTGCGTTGCGTAATAAAAAGCACTAATTTAATATGGGACTTGTTATTAGGGACATTTCAACGTTGCAGCACGCTGTACTTTCCACTCGTGACCTGGGAGGTAATGTCAGATGAAAGTCAGAATTGTAATGTTGATCTGTAATTGTGTAAATCGTAACTGTTTAAATTATGTTACTTATACCGGTCTTACCTGTAACTTGAGATTATTTGATAAGAACTGTAAAACTAGACTGTCGACACGGTTGATAAGCCACGTACAAAGAGCGAATGAATATAGAAGCTTGGGGAGCAGACCTACCTAACTGCAGAATGCAGAGGTAAGAGTCACGGGAGACCCAACAAAATACTTAAACCAATAGGACTGAAGTCGGTGACGGAAGCCAACAACGTTCCTCTGCTTTTATGTCATGGTTACTACTTGAACTTCGTGTTCTGGAGCTACTTATATCAGTCCTAAGGTTCGAAATTCATTATTAAAATATTTATGTGTAAGTGTGATATTTTTCACTCCTTAGCGTGATGGGGCTTTGTGTTCATTTTTCACTGGGAAGACCAAGGCGTAAGTGAGTGGACAATATTAAAACGGACCTTAGAGAGATAGGATGGGATGGTAGGGATTGGATTGATCTGGCTCAGGATAGGGACCAGTGGATGGCTCTTGTGAACACGGTAATGAACCTTCGGGTTCCATAAGATGTTGGGAAATTCTTGAGTAGCTGCAGAATTGGCGGCTCCTCAAGAAGGGCTCGGCTCCATTAGGAAGTAAGCGTGGTGCGGTTCAGATTTACGCTTACATTTCCTACAACTCCGATTCCCATGACCGAATCCCCCACGGATGATTTTTTTCTATTGTACTTCCGGAAACAGGCCATGTATCTACGGAAACTGTATTTTGATCTATATACATAAATGTTTGGTTAAACCTTACGAGATATTCAAAGAGTCAGAGTCAGCGTTATTTTACGACTTTCGCCAATCAGTTGGTCTTGGCGACAAGCCCCTTGAGACTCACGACCAGCATTTTTTCCCTCCAACTGAACCCTTGCGGTCATAGTCCCTATGTAACATCCTCTCTGACGAAAGGATGGGTCTGTCGTTTAAAATTACTGCTGGTCCTCGCCAGCGCAGTCATTCTTGGGTCCGAGTCCCGCGAGAATCATGACAATATTTTAGTGTTTTATATTCGAGACTTCCCCAACCTGGAAGGTCAGGTCTCCGTATTTATATCCCGCACGAACAAGATGACCTAGTTCTATCGCCAGGCACTGGGTTCCCTTTTCGTCGCCTCCTATGACTCGCAGGGCTACGGTGGAGGTATTCGACCCCGCCTCCACACGGTACCCCACGAAATATTGTTACTTATTTCTTTTAATATATATTACATCATAATTGCTACAGTATCCATGGTGTTAGCAAAGAATCAGCGAAATTATGCATGAGTCGCCAAGGAATTAATACATCTTTTATATACTGTGCCCTAATATTATCCCTGTACTAGGCCTGAGGCGCGATACCGTAGTATGTATAGCGACTAGTTACGGGCTCGACGACCAAGAGTTCGGAGTTCGAGTTCCGGTAGGGTCGAGAATTTTCTCGTCGTCCAGACCGGCTCTGGGGTCCACCCAATCTCCTATCCAATGTGTACCGGGGGCTCTTTCCCCGTAGGTAAACAGGCCGGGACATGAAACTGACGATTCACTTCCAATTAGTGCCGAGGTCAAGAAAATGTGGATCTATGCACCCACTCCCCCATACGCCTTCATGGTGAAGTGCTTAATTAGTTACGCACAACTTTACCTTCTTACCCTAATATTATTTGCAAGAAACTGATTGGGATTAAGTCTCAGCCTTCCATTTTGAAAGTATGAATCATAGGCTCTTTTGTGATCTAGCCTCGACATTTCTTCACTTAATCCTTACCTCGTATGGCGTAAGTGAGTGAGTAACACTAGTATTTGAGGAATATTCTAACATCATGTTTGAACAGCTGGAATCATAAAACAAGTATGGCGCTCGGCTTTTGGCGTCATTTCCAAGTTCTCACCACACATGTATGAAAAACACTCAGCAACGTGTAAATACTGAAAACTGTTGGTCTTCTTGAGCGTATTTAGGAATTATAACATCCCAGACCTTTTGTACGCATGGTTTGTAACGCCTATTTTCATGCCTTCCTTCCATTTTATTTAAAATGAACGCATAATAGTGATATGTCTGTACATTCCGAAACCGTATTTGGGTTGAGATCAAATATATTGTGGACCGCGTACACTAAAATGTACCACACGAACCTTTATTTTACATTAAAATCAAATGGAAATTCGCAGACTCTATAGAAGATTCCTTCAAACATACAATTATATAGGACCTAAACAGATTATCGCATGAAAGTAAGCATAAATCTTGCTTCAGATTCTGTAAGATCACTGTATGCTTAACCAAATTCAGTTAACGTACCTGTTTTTCCACTCTTTCCAAGAAAATTTCGAGATAATGCCTTAAATTCAGGCCACAGCCACTTCTTTCCACATCCTGCCAGCGCCGTTAAATATACTAGAAATAAATAAATAAACAAATACGAATGTATATTCCGATTCCAATGATCACGTATAATAATTAATATCTTTACTGTACTTTGACTCGGCCAGCCACAAATTTCTGTCTGTAACAGGTACAAATCACGACAAATGCGGGCTACAGAACCGCGAACAATGCCTTGAGAAATGCTATGCATTCTAAACTGGAATACTTGTATATGCTTTACTTAGATGAATAAATATTTAATTATTACTGATATGCTTGGAGTTTGACTTTGAACACATATTAAAGAATCCAGTATTAATCTGAGAATTGGGCAGTGCCATAGCTCAAGCGGTTAGTCGCTGGCTTCCCACCGCGGCGGCCCGGGTTCGATCCCGGGGTCTGGTCAAGTAGGATTTGTGGTGGAAAAAGTGGCGCTGGGGCAGGTTTTTTCCGAGTACTTCGGTTTCCCCTGCCAATTTTCATTCCACCAGTTGCTCCACAATCACCCTCATCTGGTCTGGTACAATACGCCAGAAGTGGCCGCAGTACAAGGGACTTACTCCCACCCCACTAGCAATAAAACAAATTGAGAATTCAGCTCAGGATCTTCATTGGAAACAGTTCGAAGCAAAATAACGAAGTTGAGTCGACAGTTTCAGAATATTCTGTCTCGCGTAAGGTGAAAGCTAATCAACTTTGAACTTGAAAGAAAGATTACTAGTATCTTCTGTGACGCTGCACGTGTTATCTGCTAGACGTTCTGTGACATTTCGGAGAAACGTCAGTAAACTTCTACCAGATTACACGGCGTAAAATCCCAGACGACCGTATGCTTCACGCTCACGGCCGTGAAACCTCAAATCTCGCGCCATCGTACTTGCTACGCAGAACCTACGAAGTAGCAGTTGCTGTCAAAGTCTGCCGGTACTTACGCAGAGAAATGTGGTCCTCTGCCGTGCCAACAAGCGTCTCGTGAAGCCGTCACTTATCAACTGATGCAAAGACCGCATCAGCCCGTACTCACACCGCGCCACGCCCCGTTTATCGCGTTTCCGTCGCATCACGTAACGTACATACCAAGCGTTTGCACGATTCGCTTTTCCATTGGGGAATATTCCAGTCTGGCAAGTAGCGAGGCTCAATAAGACTAACACCAGAGGGGGATGTTGTCATCTCTTTTCTGTTCCATAAAGCTCGAAATTGTTTTCCTTGGAATCAGCTGCATACGTTGTGTTTCGTAACTTCGTATTCGCCATGTCAGGAGACTGGCCACTAGCAATGTCACGCGATCAGAAGATCTCTGTCAATACAACACTAAAATTCCGCAATAAATATGAAGTCTATAGTATTTTAACTACTTCTTATTTCTCCATAAAATGGTGATCATATTCACTTTGTTGTGTCCTACACACACCGTCAAACACAAACAACGTACATTATTTTTCACAGTGTATATTCGTCCTTGTAGCCGAGCGGTCTAAGGCATGTACTGTCTTCGCTCGCTCGGAAGCCGGGATCCTGGGTTCGAATCCCACACTAGGCATTGATGTTTGGTGTGTGTATATAGTTATTCCGTGTTTGTGTTGTCCTGTGTTTAGGTAGATGCCTTGCGACGGGCTGATCACCCGCCCAAGGAGTCCTACCATCTATAAAAGTGATCATAAAAGTGATCATGAAACTGAGAAACCAGCCCTATGCTCCACAGTGGGAGCAAGAGGAGAGAAAAAAGATATTCGTAATTATAAAGTAAGATGCTTCACTTTACCGATACCTGATAGCAGGTCAGTACTCAATATTCGTACGTAATAACGCACTGAAATATTCTAAATTACGAAATGGTAGAGCCGACATAAACAACTGTACACCAGCAGTCAGAATGGCCGAGAGAGTGGTAGGTTCATCTGGACCTGTGTATATTTATGACTACATAAAAAAAACTTTCATCTGTCATCTCTGAGTCGAATTCTATCTTACGGATGCTGACGCTCAGAGCACGGGAGCAATAAACTCTCCACCATTGAATTGCTCGTCTAATTCTGATTATATTTTCGTCGGCCTCTGCCTGTCCCTCTGCCTGTACTTCGTCTGTTTCCTTTCTTTCCTACTTCTCTTCAGTTATTCTTAATTGTGCAGTTGTCACTGACACCTGTCTCTTCGGAGAAATAAATATTTGTTTCTAGCATCAAAAGCAAGTTTCAGAATAACATGAAGGGCTGATACAGTATCACAAAGTGACATGTGGTTATTGACTCGTTTCACCTTCTCATGTCTGGCAGCAGGACATTGGTAATACCGAAATCCGCCTTTGGACAATATCATGAGTCAGTTCCTAACATTTCCCATCTGTTTCCTTATGCTGTAACTTGATGTTGCCTTCTCTCTACCAGAATTTTGCATTCACCCCTCTTCTCCTTGTACTTTTCACATTACCATCCCACCGTAAACCTTCTATATTGCGCGAATCTAAAATTATGTGATCTGTAAAGTCACAAAATTCATTATACTGTATCCTAAATTTCTCATCCATTTCATCTATCTTAAATCCAGATATTTTCCAGTGTAGTATGAAGCTCGTAACATTTCCAGTAAAACTGAAAAGCTTCTTGTTTAATGTTTTATCTGCCTCTGGATGTTTAACTATGCTTTATGAACGGCACGTGTTATATAACGTCAAATTAAAGGATATTGTGAATGATAAACTGAGAAGCACGTGAAAGGAAGTGCCTGTGGCTTGTATCAGGACAGTGTCCCGGCACCCGAACGGATATATTGACGAAAATGTAAAATAATTTCAGTTACCAAACCCTATCTTGGGGCCGATAAGAGACCCCACAATCTTTCGACTGAGAAGTAGGAATCATAACCATAACACTGCGACATTTGTTCTAATTTAGGAATGCCCACTTTTAAGGCAGGTGGGGCACATTAAATTATATGAAATGTTACAAGGACCGGAGCATGTAAATATCTCTCCCGTAGACAATACAGAATTGGAAAATATAACAAAAATGACCTAAATATACTTTATTGATGGGCCAGCCCTTTCTCAGATAGAGACTGAACTTTGGTTCAATTTTAGTGTGGCATTTCTCATCACATCAAGTTAGTGCATGTCGGTGATTCTTTTAGGGAATTTCCTTTTGTTTTGTTTCATGCGTGGAAAAAACCGTTTACATACATATATATCATGTGTTACCAAATACACTTCGCTAGTTGCATGTTAACTTACGTAATTCAGAGACCCAAAGACTTAAAAATAAACATAAAACTAAATCTTGAACTTGATTCCGGGTTGAAATTAATACGCAAATTTGAGTTGGTTCGTCCTGGTCCGTCACACTAGTAATAGCGTAAAAGGCTATTAACGCCGTCCAGTGTGATTAATAAATGTTGTGTTTTATAATCTTTCATCCTGGCCTGGCCTGAATAACTGAACAACAACACTAGAGAGTCCTGTTCTTCAAACAACAGAACTACGGCGTGGAATACATTCATCTTCCTTTAAAGAGTAGAAATATAAAGACACGAACCAAATTGACTCTAGATTTTAACAAAAAATGTTTAAACATTATTTTCTTAATAGACTGTTTATAATAATTTATAAATGTTTTAACAAATTCATGCACCGCTTAGTAATTGTTAAAGGATATAATATTTTATATCTATGGCATTATAATACTAGTTTCATTGTGTATTGACAGTGTCCTTCTAAAGATGGTCCCTCCGTCCTAAACATTTAAGGGATGAAAGATAAAAAACACAACATTTATTAATCACACTGATCGACGTTAATAACATGTTATAATATTACTAAGTAAAGTTAAGTCGTCTTGCAGTTCAGTCAATTCAAGTTGAAGTTTTTGTGGAGCATCCCTGACCTAAGCGGAGAACGGATTTTCAAAGAGACGTTAGCCAGTAATTGTAATGCTCGTGCGAAAGGCATTGAATCTCGTTTCCAATTTCTCAGCCAAGGACACTGTACAACCGAGCCAGCCTGTCGGATGAAACCCTGCAAGAAGGCAGTAGAAGATGACACGGCTGACAGCAGGACTCAAATATCTTAACCTAGTCCAAGACATGTAGAGAAAAGGATAGTTCAAAAGACCAGACAGCGTTAGAGAAATCTTAAACTAGGATTATCGTGACTTGGTACAGGAACCTCGGTGTATTTTGTGGTAGTATTCGTTGGAAAAATAAGCAACACTTGTTAATTTTTCTGCAAAACAACAGCAATATTTCTGTTGCTAGAAATCTGTATTTCTACGTCAATCTGATGGCAGTTATCAAAGAATCACCGGAGAAATAAATGTGAAATTTTGTATAGAAGTACGTCAATAAACAGACCTAAAAATTATACGTGACATATTCTAATCACGACAAGGACCGTAACAGATCCAGCAACATCAGAGGACGCGGAAGAACAGCGAGACCTCCAAAAAGTGAAAAGTGCAATCAGTATAATAAAATTGAACTTTAATTCATGAACTTTTAACCAATAATATAATTAAAACTAGTTAAAGTGAACTTGACGCAGTGATGAGCGTAAGTAGGAAGTGACTGAATAACAAGTGAAAGTGAAAGCATAACTAGTGATCTGAATTGAAATTCGATTTGCAAATTTTAAATTTTGACATTTAGAATAATATTTTAACTTGTGTTTTGTGAGAGGAGCTTGATATATTATTGAGCGTGAGCCTGAATAAGATACAGGATCGAATAAGTGAAAAGACGAATGCCATTTTGTGTAATTATACAGCTGTGTTCGTACACCTGAGGATGACCTCTTGAGGTCGAAACATGTAGTGTAATAATAATAAAAATATGTTGTGTGGTCGGTTAAATTGACTCTAATATTAATTAAATACACAACAGGATGCAAGAAACAATTAAACGAATAAGTTATCATTTGCGAATATGGCGACTGTGCGAAACAATGCAGCTGACAAAATAACTCAGAGTTATTTCAGAAGCTCTAAGTTACTCAGGTAATCAAGAAATTCTCCGCTTCCTGTAGAACTCGTATTTACTGCCTTATTCACAAATGACCGGAAATAGGCTCTGTGCTAAGCAGCTGAATTTAGGCCACATCCTCACATTCTGCTTTTATAAGATCCATTTCAATATCATCTTCAAATCTGTGGCTGGGTTTCCAAAGTGGAAGTCTGTAATTATCTGGAAAATGTAACGAGACAGAAGTGTATACAGCGGGAATTATATGCATGAATGGATCAATTATTATGTAATTACTGACATAAAGTTTCCGACAGAACTATCACGTTGACAGAACCATTTGAATACAAGTAGACATAAGTTCCACTCAGAGCTACTTGTCTTGACAAGGGGAAACTGTTATACGTTGCAACTTCTGTTAAGCACTCCAATCGTGTCCCGCCCCTCTTTTCTTTCTGAGTGTGTAGGGAGAAGGTGCAAATAAAGATACAGAAATGTGTATAAAACTAATTTTGCTACGGGCCTACGGACTTTATGAGCCTCATAACGATAGTGTCTACTCCAGCTAAGGACATGAAATATAAATTTCCCCAGCCACGGAGCTAACCAAAATTCATCTTGCGACATAGCAGTTCATTAAGCGGCCTCCGTAGTCTAGAGGTAACGTTCCCACCTCATGACTCGTAGTACGCGGGTTCAAATACCCGGCGGAGGTCGTCGAATTTTTAAGGGCGGAAAAATTCAGGGAACAAGTCCTCCGGGAGGGACTTTAAGCCGTGGGTCCCGTGTCGTAGCTTTACGGCACGTAAAAGAACCTCATACCTCCAAAGGAGGTCACTGAGCCAAAATTGCGGACGTTTCCCGCCCAACAGCAGTCACTAATACCTCCCGTAGATGGGGGAAGCATTATAGATACTTGTCAGCTAGTAGAGCCGGTCTCACTGGCTGGGCGGGACTGATGGTAAGCACCAGTACCGGCAGAATATAGAGACTGCTAGAAATCATAGAAGGAAGAACAATGGACCAC